TTATTATTATTTTTTTTTTTTTTTTTTTTTTGCATAAATTGTCTTTAATGGCATTTTTTCGGGAGTGTAGATGGGGTGTGAATTGCCGTGTCTTTAACAAGGTCGTTTGTTTCTTTTTTTTTTTTTTGTTTCATTCAACACCCATTTTCCCATTCAGAGGGTGTCTGTACATAAATCAAAAACCTTGCTTTGTAACTTAATGGGAGACGAAGAGAGACAGAGAGAAAGAAGTTGAAGTTGAAGAGAAGAGAGAGGCAGTTCGCAATTTCATCATAACAACTGGAAACGAAAGACTTAAGACACGAACTTGAGCAATTATGTTGTGTGTGTATTCGCCATGGATGAAGGTTAATGGTTGTCAGCAAACCTAATTTGCGTTGTGGGTGAATTCTTATGGAAAATTCGACAAATATTACATATGAGAAAAATTTTGGCGAAAAAGAAAGCTAAAAATTTTGCGGTCCCAAAAAAATCAATTCTTTTAGATTTTTTATTAGATTTGATAAATAATGTCGTATTAACGGCTTAGAGCCGATACATTTTTCAACAAACAGTTGTAGCTGTAAACGAAAGACTTAAGACACAACCTTGGGCAGTTATGCAATGTTGTGCCACGGATGAAGGTTAATGGTTGTCAGTAAACCTAATTTGAGTTGTGGGTGAATTCTTATGGAAAATTCGCCAGATATTACAAGTATTTAAAATTTGGAAAAAAATTGAGGCTGAACATTTTGCGGCTCCAAAAAAAAAATAAAAAATAAAAAATTTTAGATTAGATTCGATCAACATTGTCGTATAAAAGGGCTTAGCGTTCATACATGTTCGAATGAAGTCAATAATGGGTGTAGGGCTCATAAATACTTGTACAAAATCATCATAACAACTGTAAACGAAAGACTTAAGACACGAACTTGAGCAATTTTTTTGTGAGTTTGCCATGGATTAAGGTTAATGGTTGCCAGCAAAGCTAATTAGTGTTGTGGGTGAATTCTTATGGAAAATTCGCTAAATGTTAGCATTTTTGGAAAAATTGAAAAAAAAAAGACTGAAATTTTTGCTGTTCCAAAAAAAAAAGAAAAAAAAATTATTTTAATCAAAAATTTATTAAAAATATATTAACGGACCAAGTCAATAAAGGGTATAGGGTCCATATATACTTGAACCAACCCATCATAAAAACTGTAAGCAAAAGTCTAAAGACACGAACTTGAGAATTCTTCTTGTACCACAGATGAGGGCTAAATTCTACTAGAAAAATTATAAATTGTGAATAATTTGTTGACAATTGGAAACTGAAAAATGTTGATCCCACAGAAAGTAAATTTTTTAATAATTTACTTGATTTTGGTAAAATGTACCTGTCTAAACAAAAGACTTAGGTCACGAACTTGCGAAAAATAGAAGGCTGATAAGTTTCGGCTCCATCAATATAAAACGTGTTCGCATATTTAATAATATATTATCACAAATTCTTATTATGGACGAAATCCCCTAAAACATGTAAACGAAAGACTTAAGACACGAACGTGAGCAAAAATAATTTGTCAGGCAAATGGTTGTCAGCCAAAGAAATGGGCGTGTTAGGTTATGTAATGGCAATATAATATAAAATATTAAAATTATTGCAAAAATTAATTATTATTTATTGAAAAACTTGGTGGAAATGAGGGCCAAACATTTCTGATGCCGAAAAATACATTCTCAGAAAGATTCGGATTCGGAAAATAGTGTTCAGAGCCAAAAACTAAGTCTATAAAGTTAGAACGTAATTATAATAGAACTCTAAACGAAAGACTTAAGAAAAATAATAATTTTCCATCATTAACGAAAGACTTAAGACACGAACGTGAAAAACAATAATTTGTCATGGATGAAGGGCAAATGGTTGTCAGACAAAGTTATGAGCGTGTTGGATGAATTCGTAATGAAAGTCTTGGAAATCTTCCGTAATGGGAAATATGCAAAATTTTATAATTATTGGAAAATTTAGGAAAAATTAGTACTTATTTCATATATTTTTTTAGATTGGGGAATAAATTGTTATATCGTTGTGATAAATTTAGAGCCACAAATGGTAAAGCGGAATTATCATAAAACTATGAATGGAAGGCACAAACTTGAAAAATCAATGAATGATAAAGGTTTATGATAGTCAGAGGATGAATTCTAATGGAAATTCGAAGAATTTTTCAAAATTGAGATAAACCTTAATTTATGAATAGTTAGTTTATATAAATATTTTTGTCTAATGCTAATGTAAAAATTTTATAAAGGCTTGCATATATTGCCTTTATAAAAATTATACATATTTAGCATTAGACCCACCCATTACTTCTGACAAATTACGAAATTTTTAAGTTTTCAAATTTAGGGCACAATTCACGTATTTGATCCACATTTTACTGTTGTTTTAAAAAATTATATTAAACAATTATCAGTAGTTATATTGAAGATGTTTTCATCAATATAAGAACAGGAATGAAAATAAACCCATATAAGAACAGCAAAAAATATAAGAAATTGCTCTTTTTTAAATTTCATTATGAGAGATCTAATGTCAAAAAATTACTTTTGTGAAATATTGAGAATGTCTGTAAGCAATTTTCACTTTAAAGAATTGTAATCTATCCAAAAGTATTAAATTAAAACATTGTATTGCAAAATGGTCAGGTTTAATCACTTTATTGTTGTTTTTATAAATACAACGTTTGTTTATTAGTGGAGAACGATGGTAATGTTTACCAGGAGGTAAGGCAGGGAATACCTAGGCTTCGGAAAAAGCCACCAATCCTCATCAATTCCCTTGTTTTTTGTCTAGGATATTCTACCCAGGAGTTATTTTAAATATAACTCCTATGACAAACAACTTTTTTACCCAAGTTAATTAATGAGGAACCAAAAAATTACATTTTTAAATTTTTTTCAAAAGAGCTGAATACAATTTAATCAATCTCAAAGAAATAAAAAAAATATTATTAATAAATAAATATATTTTTATTAGTTTCCAGTTCATCCCTTCCAAAAATACTGAAAAGTACAACACTGCCATATTTTTCGTTCAATTATAATTTGCTTTTAATCGCAACTTACCATTAGTTTACAAATAAAAGTGCCAAACAATAACTTACCTAAAAAGAGAAATAATAATAACATTTAATTAACAATGACAAATTTTGATAGGATGAAATAATTATTTTGTATTTTGTTTAAAACTTTAGCCAAATAATAAACATCAAGAAAAATCACAGTTTTGTAATCGCCTTTGAATTAGTTTTTATTTTATTTTATCATTTTTCTCCCACTTACTCCCTGTTAATCCCAGTACAAAATAATATACAAGTTCGTGTCTTAAGTCCTTTGTTATTAAATGACAAAAATAATTTTAGTCACCTATTATGTTTTCTCTCTCTCTCTCTATTGCCAACCCCCTTTCGATTTAATTTTACCACATTGGAAATAACAACCAAGATCCTCTCTCAAGTCTTTTGTAGTCCAAACATTTAGAAAATTCAATTTTGAATCTCATTGAAATTATCTATTCAGTATCTCTTATTTTTCACTCACTTACTCTCGTTTTTAAAACAGTCAAGATTATATTCTACATTCTTTCTTAAGCCTTTGTTAAAAAAAATAAAAATTTAATTTTTATTCCCCATTTTATTTTTCCTCTCCCCTCTCGATTTGATTTTACCACATTGGAAATAATAACCAAGATCCTCTCTCAGGTCTTTTTTTATCCAAACATTTAGATAATTCAATTTTGAATCTCATTGAAATTATCTATTCAGTATCTGTTATTTTTCTCTCACTTACTCTCTTTTTTTAAACAGTCAAGATAATATTCTACTTTCTTTTTTAAGTTTTTGTTAAAAAAAAAATAAATAAAAATTTAATTTTTATTCCCCATCTTATTTTCCTCTCCCCTCTCGATCTAATTTTACCTCGTACAAAATTATAACCATATTTCCCATTCAACATTTTTGTCAGTAAACATCGAGAAACTACAATTTTGAATTTCATTGAAATTATCTCTTCAATTTCTCTATTTTTCTCTCACTCATTTTCTTTTTTATGATAGTCGAGATATAATTGAAGTTCGTTTCCTGAGTCTTTTGTTATGATTATTCAACTTCTCTCGCCCGCACGTCAAATGATACGGTTCTATTTAGGTTTGTTTCTTTAATCACTCTCTCATTATAAATTTTTCTTCCTCTTTCTCGAATGACATTCTCATCGATTTGTGTTTAAGTTGGTAATTATTATAAAATAAATAAATCTTTCGGCTAAAATTTCATTTTTTTACATTTCTCTCAATGATATTATTATTATTTTTTTCTTTTTATTCCTCTAAGAAAGTCTTTTATTTTTTTCTCCCACCAACTCTCTTTCAACAACTGTCGAAATAATATCCATTTTGGAGTCTTTTATTATTAAACATCGAGAATATCTAGTTTTAAATCTCATTGACGTTATCTCTTATTTTTTTATTTTTCTCTCACTCACTCTCTTTCTTATAGCAGTCGAGATAATATTCAAGTTCGTGTCTTAAGTCTTTTGTTATTATTACTCACCTTCCCTCGCCCCCTTGAAAAATGACCCAATTATATTTATGTTTGCTTCCATCTCTTTTAACAAAAGTCTCACTCTCTCTCTCTTTTACAATGGTGGCATAAAATTCTGTGTTTGTTTCTTAAGTCTTTTGTTATGAATAATCAACTTCTCTTGCTCTCACGTCGTGAGCAATGGGATATGGAAGAGAAATTGGTTTCCACGTTTGTGTCTTAAGTCTTTTGTGGCATATTTTCAATGGTGAGAAGAAAAGAGCGCTAAATTTATTTGATCTCATTTTCTCTCTATTTCACTGAGACATGTTATTTTATTGCGTTTGTTTCTTAAGTCTTTAGATAATAGAATCTAACAGATTTCCTTTTAATTTTTTTTTTTTAATTCAAATTATTAATGTTTCCCCCTTTCCCCTCTCTCTCCCCTTCTCATTCCAGATCTGTCTTGCCACATTGTTGGTGGCCTCAGCCTATGCTGAAACTGCTGCCAAAAAATCCCTGAGCGAAAAGAAAGTACCGCTCGAAAAGAAATTGGACAAACGTGGCCTTCTTGAGCTGGGCTATGGCTATGGTCATTCCGGTTTGGATCTTGGCTATTTGGGTCATGGTTCCATTACCTCCGGCCATGGTTATGGCTATGGCAGCAATGCCATCATCGGCCATTCGGGACCTGCTGTTGCCTATGGTCATAGTGCACCACAAGAATTTCTAATTAGTCAAATGGCTGATGTTCACAAGACAATTACCATTACCAAGGGTGTGCCCGTCCCAGTGACTGTTGATCGCCCCTATCCTGTGGAACACATTAAACATGTCCCAGTTGAGGTTAAGGTTCCGGTGCCTCAACCCTACGAAGTCATTAAGAAAGTTCCCGTCCATGTCAAGGAATACGTTAAGGTACCCGTCCATGTGCCCCAACCCTATGAAGTGATCAAGAAGGTCGAAGTTCCCGTCCATGTGCCGGTCGATCGTCCTTATCCCGTCAAGGTTCCCGTGCCACAACCCTATGAGGTGATCAAGCATGTTCAAGTGCCTGTCAAAGTGCCAGTACCACAACCCTATGAAGTTGTCAAACATGTCCAAGTGCCCGTTAAGGTAGCCGTACCAGTACCCCAACCCTATGAGGTGATTAAACAGGTCAAGGTACCCGTTCATGTGCCCGTCGATCGTCCAGTGCCAGTTGCTGTGCCCAAACCATATCCCGTCACCGTTGAGAAGCCCTACCCTGTGGTCTATGAGAAACAGGTGCGCGTTGAGGTGCCTGTGCGCGTTGACCGTCCCTATCCCGTGCCCGTGGATCGTCCCTATCCCGTCAAGGTACCCGTGCCAGTACCTCAACCCTACACCGTTGAGAAGCCTGTGCCCTATGCCGTGGATCGTCCCGTGCCTGTGCCAGTCAAGGTGGAAGTTGACCGCCCATATCCAGTCCATGTCACCAGACCCGTACCCGTCCATGTTGAGAAACCAGTACCCGTGCCTGTGGGTGTACCCGTTGTTGCTGGTCACTCTGTGGTCCAACATGGCGCCGCTGCTGTTGTGGCTGCTCCAGCTGCTGTCAGCTATGGCGGCGGTTATGCTGTCTCAGGTGGAGGTCATGGTTATGGCGGTTATGGCCATGGTGGTTATGGCGGTTATGGTCATGGTGGTGCCATCTATGAATCCCATGGAGGTTATCATCACAAAAAGAAGTAAGCCCCTTTGAGTCCGAACGGAACTCTCATAGGCCACTCTAACAACAACAACAACAAAAATCCCAAAAAGTAACAAAAACAACAACAACAGAAGAGTGTAAATGATTTCATTTCGTTTATGAATTTTCTTTACTTAGAGAAAAAACCAACAACAACAACAACCATGAACTAGTTTTAATTTTTATTATTTTGCCCCCTCCCCCTACTCCCCATTTCTGCCCCTGATCCCCCACCCATTTTCTTTGCCAAAAAGAAAATCTTTGCCACTATTTTATTATTTTTTTGGGTTTTCCACAACTTCTGCTGCCACTTAACAGATAAGTTGGGAAATGGTTCGAAAAAAAATGTTCGGAATTGCAATTAGTTAAGAAAATTCTTGAGGCTAAATCTATTTAAGCACACTGCCAATGTGAATCCTTAGTTTTAAGGATTTTGTATTTAATTTTTTTTTTAATCTTCTTTCAAACATTTCTAACTAAATTTTTATAATAACCCATTTATTATAAATCTCTTAGTTTTCTAAGTTATTTAAAAAAAATATTTTTCTCTTCAACGGAAATTTCAATACTCCCACACCCCAACTCCCACTCTCACCTTGCCCAGGGATAAAGTAAAAATTGTGATAAAAACAAATTGTGTGGAAAATTTTCCTTTATCCCCCCCCCGGCAAGTGTTAATGAGTGTATTGAGGGGAGAGTGTATTGAGAACTGGAAAAATATTCACCAGCCTCAAATTGCTTAACTAGTTAAAGAGACAAATTCCACTCTCACTCTCAATGTCTTTCGAACCCTTTCCCAACTTATCCATGTTCGGGCAATTTTATGTTGCTGTGGTAAATCTCCTAAATCGTTTTATTTGTATATTATTATTTTTTTTTCTTTTTTTTATTGTGTGTGTATAAATTAATATTTCACTCTCTTTTCTTATGTTATTACGTTTAATGTAAACAATTTTTTTTATATGTTTAAAATTTTTTTTTGTAAATAAGTCTACTAAGAAGAAATGTGTAAAAAATGATGATAAAAAAATAAAGAAAAAATCTATTATATTAAAAAAATATAAATTTTCATGAGTTTTTTTTTAATTAAAACGATATTAAAAATAAAATTTTAAAGGCAGACATTTTGAAAGGAAGGTTCCTCCTTATATCTCTTAAAAAAATAATTATTTACGTCCTGTTCATTTTATTAAAAACTTAAAAACAAATTTACATTTATTAACAGCCAGGTAGACTTTAAAAAATATTTGTAAAAAGCGCAAAATTTACCTCAAGAAAGTTCTTTAAATTATTAAAAAAATCAGAGCGAGGAATTCCTTACAAAATTTTTTTTTACAAATCTTTGCAAAAATATTCTTTAAAAAAATACATAAATCACATAATCATAAATTCCTGAACAGATTTACCTTCTTTAGCCAGGAAATCTAAAATCATTCAAAAAAAAATCTTAAAATCCCTGGCTCCAAAATGTTCCCAAAAATTCACGAATTTTGAAGAAGGCCCAGCTAACTTTATAAAAAATTTAAAATTTACTACAATAGACTTGGAAAAATATTTGAAAAAAAAAAAACGAAATTCTATCTCTAAAAGGTTCATTAAATTTAAAATAATAAGTAAAAAAGCTGTAAGTTCGGCCGGGCTGAACTTTGAATACCCTCCATCATTTGGTAAAAATTTGGCAATTTTCCAAAAAAATAAAATCCATTAAAAATTCCGTTAAAATCTTAAAAATACCGAATATAGCCGTTGTAATGGGGACTATACGACATGGACCTACATAGGCATTGTTTGCCATTAGCCATTGCCATATCCAAATTCGAAACTTGAAATAAACGGTGAATAATGTAGCTAAAATCATCAAAATATAGTATATAGGGAGGTACTGTTATATCGGAGCTGTGCGAAGACCTGGACCAGCATAGACAATTTTCTGTCACAGGCTATAGTATCCATAAAGAACGTCAAATACGACATCTCAAACAATTTCGGTGGGTATTGTACTTAGACTCGTTAAAATACCCAATATAGGGAGGTGCTGATATATGGGGCCTATACGAAGACCTTGAGCTGCACAGACAATTTTCTGTCACAGACAGTAGTTCCCATTACGAACTCTAAATACGTAATTTGAAACAATTCCGGTGAATAATGTCGCTAAAATCATCAAAATACCGAATTTTGGGAGGTACTGTTATATGGAGGCTATATGAAGACGTGGACCTTATTCACAAATCCGGTGAATAATGACGCTAAAATCATCAAAATACCGAATTTTGGGAGGTACCGCTATATGGGGCCTATACGAAGACCTGCATAGAAAATTTTCTGTCACAGAGTGTAGTTCCCATTACGAACTCTAAATACGTAATTTGAAACAATTCCGCCAACAATGTCTCTAATATCATCAAAATGCCGAATATCGGGAGGTACCGTTTTATGGAGGCTATACAAAAACCTGGACCCGCACAGACAATTTTCTGTCATAGACTGTGGTATCGATTTCGAACTTCAAATACCAAATTTGAAACAATTCATGTAAATAGAGTCGTTAAAATCATCAAAATACCGAATATCGGGAGGTACCGTTATAAGGGAGCTATACCAAAACGTGGACCTACATGACCCATTTTTAATACCAAAAGTCTTGAAGACATAATACACATTTTAAATTTTATCAAACTACTTAATTTCATTTGGAATCTAGAGTGATTTCCACAGAGGGAAAGACGGTTAGACGGACAGGCATTGCTAAATCGACATAGAATTTCATGCTGATCAAGAATATATATACTCTGTGGGGTCTAAAATGTATATTTCGAGGTATTACAAACGGAATAACAAACTTAATATACCCTCCATACTATAAAAATTACCTAGAAGTCCATGATTTTTTTTTTTTTCAGACCAGCCATTAAAATATTCCAAAAAATTACGCAGGCAATTCCTTAAAATTACTCAGAAAGTTCCTGAAATGATTTGAACAAAATCCTAGTGAAAAATATCCTTATACGATTTTATTAAAAATATTCTTGAAAAAATTCATGATTTTTATAGCAATCAAATTCATAAGAGATTTACTTCTTTGGCAAGGAAGTCTGAAAATACTCCACAATATTCTTCAAAATATACAAACAAATTTAAGAAGTTTGCAAAAAGTCAATTCTTATATCTCCAAAAATAAATAAATAAATAAATATCCAGGCTTGAGGCCCAGTTAACTTTATGAAAAAGTCTATAAAAATTTCAAAATTATTTATTTATACCAGATAGTCTCTAAAATATATTTGAAAAAAAAAATACAATATTTTATCTCCAAGATGTTCTTTAAATTATTTAAGAAGTTCCATTCCTATATCTCAAAAAAAAAAAAAAAAAAGGAATCCAGGCTTAAGGCCAATTTCTTTAAATTATCTAAAAAACGCAGTGTGGAATTCATTTAGAAATGCATATTTTGTTTAATTATAAAAACTTTCCAAATTTACTATCTTTGCGAAATAAATTATCATATTTTTTCTGTTTATTCCTTTTTGACTATATTCATGAAAGTTCAAGACTTTTGCAGGAGTGGTTTTCTTGATACCTCAAAAAAATATCCAGGCTATAGACCTTGTTAAATTTGTAAAAATTTAAAATTTATATATAGCCATGTAGGCTTTGAAAAATATTTGAAAAAAATACAACATTTTATCTACAGGAAATTCTATAAATTATTAAAAAAAAAAACTGTCTCACCGAAATAACGGTTTTAGACCCTAGGACTCTTTGGACCAAATCCGGCAAATTCGGCAAATATTGAAAAATAAGCTCGGGGTAAAGCCATTGAAATTCCAAAAACTGCAAGAACTTACACCGCAACAGAAAGAAAATAGACCCAAAAGAGCTAAAGAGTTTCTTCGCTTCGCTTGGCCGAAAGTGGTGAACTGCCGAATTTGGTTTTCTCCGATGAGAAAACATTTGTTGTCCAGCAGTTTGTAAACAAACCAAATGACCAAAGAGGTCAGCTGAAAATGTGCACCTTCGGTTGGCCACCAGAACTCACCTCAAGTGCCGGCCATGGTGATGGTGTGGGCCGCCATAACAGCCGATGGTCGCTCTCCGCTCGTATTAATCGACCGTGGCATCAGAATAAATGCCGAATGTTATCGCGAAAATATTCTGGAGGGTGTATCAAAGCACGCAAACATTTTGGCCACAGACCTTGGACATTCCAACAGGACTACGCACCATCGCACTCAGCACGCGCCACCCAAGAATGGTTACAAAATGAAGTTCCTCGCTTCATTTCCAGCGCACAATGGCCACCAAAATCTCCGGATACCGCACCATCGCACTCAGCACGCGCCACCCAAGAATGGTTACAAAATGAAGTTCCTCGCTTCATTTCCAGCGCACAATGGCCACCAAAATCTCCGGATACCGATCCGTTTGACTATTGTGTCTGGAGTATTTTGGAAAGAAAGGTTGGCACTAAAAAATACCAAAATGTCGATCACCTCAAGCAAGCGCTTCGCCGGGTATGGGCTAAAATACAGCAGAGCAATATTCGGGCAGCGTGTGATGGTTTCATTGGTCGTTTGAAGGCCATAATTCGTGCCAAAGGTGACCAATTCGAATAAATCCAAAATTATTCAAAAATTTGATGCTATTTCCGACATTTCAGAAAAATTTAAAAAGAAAAATATATAAAAATTGTGGCGTTTGACTTTGTTGCAGTTTGTTTTATCTCATCCTGTATACTCACACAATTACAAATTTGTATGCAAAAATTCATAATGTCCTCACAAAATTATTGATTTGGTAGAAAATTAAATTAAATTAATTAAAATTCATATAGCCAAAAAGTTTTGAAATATATTTTTACAAATTTTTTTTTAATCTATTTAAAACAATTCAATAATGTTTACTAAGAATTCCTTAAAAAATTCACAATTTCTCTTATGAATCAGTGAATTTGAATTCAGTTCGCTGTCGAATGTTACCTCTAACAATAATATGGAGATTTAAAAAAAAAAAAAAAAATAATATCATTTCAACAAAGACTTTATTAAAAAGAAGAAATCCTAAGATTCTTCAAAAAAATCAGTTTTTCTGCATACAAAAAATATTCTGTAACAGACACAAATACACTGTAGAAAATGGACCCGAAATTCACTGAGTTCTTTAGCCTACACAAAAAAAAAATCCTTACGCCCAGAACACATTTTTTTCTGTAGAAATTAAATTCTGTGGACCAGAGGACAAAACTCTTTTTTATCGAAGAAAATCCTCTGGCCTACAAGATAATTTTTTATATATTCAATCATGGGAAAACCTTGAAAATCTTAACATTTTTATCAGTGTTAGTTCAGATACGAAAATGGAATATATCGGTACACTCCATCAGGTACCTCCGCCACAAGAGGTGAACATTTTTGACTAATCATCACTGTTATAAAATGAGAAATAAAAGTCCGATTATATCAATATTTGTATCAACACAAGATCTGGTGTTAAGTTGGAATATAACGAGCAACTCCTTATGGTATCTC